TTGCTCTTTCCAGCGGTTTCGTGCTACAAGCCATCTCATCCTATTTTACTCGATCACTCTAATTATACTTGGCGAAAGGTAGAGATTATGAAGCTCCTCATTATGCAGTTTTCCCCAACCTATCATCACTTCATCACTCTTCGATCCAAATATTCTCCTCAACACCCTGTTCTCTATGTTCCTCCCTTAAAGTCACAAACCAAGTTTCATAACCACAGGCAAAATTGTAGTTTTGTATATTCTAATTTTTATGTTTTTAGTCTGCAGACGAGAAGACAAAAGGTTCTGGACTGAATGGTAGCAAGCAACACCTGAATTCAGTCTCCTCTTAATTTCCTCCTGAATCCGGTTTTGATTTGTTTGATGCCGAATATCTTAACTGTGCTACATTTTCAAAACATCTGTTACCTATCTTTGTATCATGATTTTGCCCTGCATTCTGGTGACGCGACAGCAACATATACTCAGTATAAATACATCAACAATTTTTGTTATTAAAACATCTGTAGGGACACTAAGCTCATACAGTTAAGTCCACTTTTGGTTTTTACTGCAATGATGCAGGATGGGTATTGCTTTTGGGTACTCAAATCAACAATTCACACCCTCTGAAACACCCACCAAATGGTTTGGAAACAAACTGTTCTCAAGCCCTAACTCCAACTTATCAGTTGTCTTCTGTTTGCGGTTATGCGATTATTTAGCACAGGTAGAAGTGTAAGGCAGACAAATAAATCCAAACTAATTAATTAGCAAACTTCCTTCCCTGTTACATACTTTCCGGTACTAGCTCAATTAGTTTACAGCCGCGCTCAATTTGGAGAAAATTGCATTAAACTTAATTAAATTTTATATGATGCAAGTAAAAAAGTGGGGCGAGAGGACTCTTTATAACAGTGGAATTAGCTGCTTCTTGTTTCACCATCAGCAAGTTGGTAACAAGAAACAAGTTTTCAGAATTACGGTTCCATGATAAAGGGGAATATAGTATTCCGTGGTTATATACTGGCTTTTCAGCACAGAACTTTGGGTTCAATCCCAAGTGACTTCATCCGAGAGTCAAGATGGATGAAGTGCCACTGGAGCCGGTTTTTACCAGAGTTTCTTCAGTATTTCCCTGATAATAAATGTTCCATTGAGCTCCATACTCATCTATCACCACCCCCTGACTTGTCACTCTGTAGCCTTGACCAGGCAGCACATTATAGCATCCTCAGTCAATTTGGGGGCTTTGTGCTTGACCCAGTGCTTAGCTAACTGCAGAGCCAGTTTAACTGATCTAGGAAATGAATTAAGTTCTTCTTGTAAGCAAGAAGTTTTTAAATTACTTTGTTCTTCAGATGTCTGGGACTTGGTGTGTTTTTTCTTTAATTCAATCTGTAAGACTGGCTTGTTTTATTCTAATTTATGCTTCTTTTGTAATCAATAATTGAAGTATATATCAGACAGTCTGAAATTATCAAGCAGTAGAACAACTAGTCAGGATCATCATACGTAGTAATTAAAATGCCTTCAGAATGCCTGTGCTTCAGTTCCAAGTACTCAGCCAAGTGAACGCCATTTTCTTAATGAAAAACAAAAATACAGGGGGGAAAATAACAAACATCTAAAGAGTCTCAGGCTATGAGGGGCACTTAGAGCTTTCTGAATCATTAAATTCCTATAAAAAGGATTAAAACTTTGACTCTGTCCTCAGCAGGACTTTATTTTCTTTAAATCAATGGTTTTCAAACCTCTAAAAGCAATTATTGCAAATTGTGTCTGTGTTTGTATCTGTGTACACAATATATGTGCATTCAGTCTCATGTCATTTACAAATGAACTTTATAAAAATTTTTATGGAAAACTATTAACATGCCTTTCAGAATTTGTGGTTTATAGCAATAGTGTTATGAAATAAAATCCTCATTCTGAATCCTTTCTTACTAAGCACAGGAGGAAACTTAAATTTCTTAATTTGAGTCTTAGTTGTCTTTGAAGTTTTAGCTACTATACATTGCGATATTAATAAGGAAAGCAGCTCCTTCCTTCATGAATGACAGGAACTTCTTCTGATATTCATATTTGATATTCAGTTCTTTAATTAACAGCACTATAACCATGACATAAAAGAGTACCTGATCTTGAATCTATCAAAATTACATCCACTCTCTTTTTGCAGATTATCTTGAATTGAATTTGTTGCTGTGGGGAGAGTAGAGAAGTCAACTACAGTCTGTTGCTGCATTCAGGTTTTAAAGAACCATGTTGCACCTTCAGAATACTACAAATTAAAGACCAGTAAGTAGAGTTAAATAAGCAAAAGTCACAAAATATATGTTGCAAAACAGTTCTTGGCAATCTGTGTTCTTTTTGGCGGCTAGCCCAATCTTTTATGACCCAGTTGTGGTAAAGCCCTACAAGTCCCATAACATGTAATTCCTTCTACCATTATCAAGATCCCTTGGTGGCCTTACTGGGAAGTATTATTGTGCTAGAGGATATCAAAAAGCCTTCAGCCAATTCTCAAGTTGTCTGCCTTTCATCTGGGAAGATGAACAGACTCATCCTCCACCTACCGTGGCAGATATTCTGATGGAGCTACAGAACATTTGAGCGAACTTTAACTGTGTGGAACTTTGCTTAAAAGACTGCCACAATGATGTGCCGGTCTGAACTTCCCAACAACTTTGTTACAGCAAAACTTCTACAAGCATAAACTTTGCTATCGTTCATCAGTTTCATAGAATTAAGTTTAAATTACAATTCTGGATTCAATAGCTTGTTGATAACATTCATCTAAATGCAATTAATGATCGCAATAATTCCCTTCGGTAAATGTGCGAAACAAGTATTATCCATGGAATTGGTATCTTTAGTTATAAGGTATAAAACATCGATTAGTATCACAATAAATGAAGATAACTGATTCTTATTACTCAGTTGAACATGCATTTTTTTGGAAAGATAATTAAGCTATCATTGCGTCTGTATTTGTGCTTCAAATAGTCACCACCAAAACTACAGGATTTTGTATCATAAGCAGTTGAACCCGAGGTTCTCACAGTGATGATTATGAAGAGCACTGTCTGTTGGGTTTTAATTCTGTGTGGTCCAGAAGAAGATCCACATTTCAGATGAACTTACTGCCAACCTCCGGGTCAAAGGAATAGCCAGCAAGAAACTGGCCTCAGGCAAGCAGCAAGCACACTCTGTTGGCTGCCTGCCTTATGCTGGATTCTTGCTTGGTTTACTCTTCATCCCTGAAGCTGGGGGCAAAACTTAGGCTGACATTCATCAGACTACATGGTATTATACCCAGAAGACAGAACTCTGCTTAACCATCACTTGTGAGAACCTTAAATCCTACACTTATAATTTATGGTTTTACACCAAAACAATCATATTACATGGGCACACAAATCAGTGTACAGAATTGGTTTCTTATATATATATATATATATATATATATATCGTATGTTATGGTACTAATGATTCACTGGTGATTATAATTAATAACCAAAGACTATATATATTTCCTACCTGGTGATTTTGTATAGTCAAATGTCATTATTCATAATGGCTGGATAATTAACTTTTACTGCAGTGTGTGCGCGCGTGCACGCACAAAAGAGAACGGCCCACTGCATAAACTAGAAAATGAAAATATTAATAGGGGAATCAAACTTGTTGCATCTAGATACAGAGAAATTCATTCCTTCCTCTATATATACATACTGTAAAAAAAAATAAAGCTCTCCCTGTAACAGGCCGTGAAGACCCATAGGGTTGTGAGACGTTGAGGGTCCCACATTATCTAGACAATCGGCTCAAAGATGGCGGTAAGGTTGTCAGCCTTATGCGCCGGCCACACTTTACTCCCCAGGAAAATGATTTAATTAATTCCTGCTACTCATTTCTGTTAGAGTTTGAGTCGACCCCAGGGCCATAGTGCAGCCAGAAAAATTAGGTCAATTGAAAAAATTCAATGACCTCATAGGGACTTGAACCCTTGACCTTCCAGCTGGTAGCATAGTGCCCCAACCAACTATGCTACTGTATAACTCTGAAATTATTTATTAAAATAAGCAGGGAAACAACTCATCATACTTAGTAACAATGCTGATATTCTGGGGACACTTTATGAGCACTGTCTTACCAATTAGGGCAGTGCATGGGGATAGTCTGTCTCGTGCCGTGTTATCTCCTCACTGTAATTTCACAGCTTTTATTAAGCCCAACAATAAAACTTTCACTTTTGCCAACCCAAGTGCAACATCAGTCTTCTAATGGGTAGTCATATACTTTTGTAGTTGTTCCACATATTCAGAATTTCAACCACCAGAAAACAAAATTATATACATGTAAGGTAAAAGGTAAAGTTGTCCGTGTTTAACTTATTGAGCCCTACACCGTGAAGGCAAATGTGGGAGTGGATGTATACATCCACATTTTCTCGACCTCAGCACTAGTTGGAGGTGAGTGGTCAGCTTCACACCCCGGCCGCTTTACTCCCCGGGGAAAGAGCTCCTGGTACCCATTGAATATGAGACTGGGTAGACCACACAGCCCATCTAGATGATGCAGAGAAGAGAAAATACTTGATCCTACTGGGACTCAAACTCTGACCCCTCAGTCCTCTAGCTCTTAGCCAGCTGCTATACTGCCTACACTATCCTGGCTCCCATTTTACATATGATCCATAAACTGATTACTATTGTTTTGGAAATTAGCCTCGTGGGGTGTGGCAGATACATACCAATGTTTCATAGGAACTTACAACCTCCATTTTTCACTCCTGCCCTGAAGATGAGCACAGCAGGTTCTTCCTAGACATTGGTACTTATTTGCCTGACCACAGAAGATAATGTTATATTTCACTCATTTGTATTCATTATTGTCCCAAAATACTTCAATTTTAACACATTTAAAAAAAACAACAATTTTGTTGCCTCTTATGGGAACTTTCTGTACAACAAAGGCAAACTTACGAATGGGTGTTGATGACAAGAGTGACTTACCATCAGGCTGACTGCTGGTCCCAGCTATTGGTGAAGGAGGTCGAAACACGGGTTCATCATGATCCCCTTCACCTGCAGAGTACGATGTTTTCCTTCCATTCTGTCCATTCCCTTCCGTTTCTGACAAGTTCTTGTCCCCATTCCCAGCACTCACTGTATTTGTCACATCATCTTCTAGTCCACCCTTATCCCCAACATTACCAGTGGCTGAAGATTTCACTCCCGAACTCCCATTATCGGACATTCCCCCACTCGCAGACCCCTTTTGATGGTGTGATTGTAGTGGAGGGGGTGAAGCAGATGTGGATGCTCCACCAGTGGATTTCACAGCACTAGAAGACGATGTTGTTGTGGTTGCCGATCGCGTGGTGGCGGCAGCAGCAGTAGAGGTGCTGAGAGACGACGAATTAGCAGGCATTTTTGAAGCACGCTCTAAATTTCTAGCAGACACGGAGTGGAGCTGCTTCTTCCTGACACCGGCACCTGCTGTGGCAGATGTGGAGGAGGCAGAGGATGAAGATGCATTGTTGAGATGTGTGTTGGCTGCGATCAGGTGTTGGTCCAGACGACGGCTGGTGTCTGCGAGTTCTCCGCGAAGCAGAGCGACCTCCTCCTGTGCTTGTTGGATATCTCCGTCAATCCGCGCAGCAAGTTCTTTGTTCTCTTCGACCATCCTGCGAAACTTGGCCTGTAAACACAAAATCATAGGCGCTACAGTCAGATTTAGGACAGGACCTCTTCTACTGTAAAGTTATATGAATCCTTAACAAGATGCAGAACACCATGGGATAGGAATCATTGTAAGATTTTTAGCACTGTCATGTGACAATGCACAGAGAGAGGGAAAAATGTGGGGTTCAATCACACAATCTGTATTTCACAACTTGCATACCTGAAGGCATATTTCGGAGCCGTTAACATAATGGAAACCTAAGACTGCATTAATACTGGGAGCAGCACAGAATCAATAATATCATGGTCAACTTCTTATACTTTCATCTTTCAGCCTATTCTGTTGCCTTTGAATTTTCTTCTACACATTGCCAATCCTCGTAGTGGAACAAACAAAATTAGCTCTGCATCAGCACATCTGTCATGTATTCATGATGTGCTATGCCACGTATTCTCGAGCTTTCCACTGTGAATTTATAGTCCACTTACATACTGCTCTGCTTGGTACCATCTGAAACAGTTCAGTAAATGTCTGGGCCATGCAACAGACATGCATATATGTTCTCTGGCAAGTTTGATTATGTTGAGTTATATTAGCTTAGGTTAGGTTAGATTTGGTTTGTTCAGGTTAGGTGAGGTTACATTGCAGAAATATGCAAATGTTCTTTGACATTCTTCTTAAATTAGCCAAGCAACTCAGCATGGAAAGGGTTAACATGCAAAACTTCATATGTGAATACTCTTATAATACAAAGTAACACTGATCGCCTTTGTAGCTGTCATGTGCAGCTCAGTCTGAGCCAGTTTAAAACAAAAATAACATCCGTCGACAAATGTTTTCAATAGGAATGCTGAAAAGCCTAAATGAAATACTTATGGTAGCACTACCAAGCTTCTCTGGTGCTCCTAGGGTACTAGTACAACTAGTGCTGCTCTCTTGTTTACTGCTGTGGCAACACAAAGTGATTGCCTTATGCATTAAAGATTGCCAAAAGCTGAAACTGAGGTGGACCCACGTTAATTCTGTCATAAGTAACTGGTTCTGACTGCACTTTGCTTTACCCTGCCAATTCTTATTCCTCACCCTATTTCTGATGCTATATATTCTCAATACAGACAGTGTTTTTAAGCAAAAAAAAAAAAAAAAAAAGGAAATAGGATAAACTCTGAAGAAACAAAAAGAGAAAGATCTCCAAGTCAAGATATTATGCAGGGGGGCCCCAAAGAACTAGTAAATCTCAGTTTTTGACTACAGTCTCAAAACCACAAACTACTGACAAAGGTCTCTCCAATGCATGGCTTCAAGTTGCATATGTGAACATATTTTGATCTGTTTGTGGGTGTAAATTCAACCATATGCCTGTCCCTGTATATTTCAATGCTTCAGCTTAATATTCAGTTTTGGGCCAAAGTCCACACATTGTAAACCAGTGATCCAGATGTTGCTTAATTATCATGATGTCACACACACACTTGAGAACTTAAGTAGAGTCTCTCTCACTAACTTCATGAATTATTAATTCATTTAGTCAGTTCATTAGTAAATTAGTAAACTCATTAATTAATTAGTTCACTAGGAAGATAGTTCACTAGTATGTTAGCTAATTGTTTCCTTAATTAGACTGCTAGATAACTAGTCACTGGAGGGACGCTTTGATCATCTTGTTTCCATTTGAGATTTGAACTTGAAACCTTTTGAATCCATAACAAATCAACTGAAGGCAAGTTCATTTCATGTGTTTTCCATCTGATTTTGTTTACAGAAGGAAATATGTTTGTATTTTATTACCGTTGTTATTATTATTATTATTATTATTATTATTATTATTATTATTATTATTATTATTGTTGGAGGGGGTGGGTTTCCCCATGCACCACGACTAATAGTCTATTGTACATCCCCCTCTGATATTCTACCAGTCACCATACCCTACCGATACTGGTGCTCCCTATCAGCCCCGTTCAGCCAGCAAGGCTGGCAGTGATACCCGATACTTCCCCATCTACCGGAGGCATTGGAAACTACTTGGGCGGGGAACTTTGCCTAATTTTGCTCGGAGGTCTCCTAGAGACATGAGGATCTTTTACGTGCCGTAAATCTACGACACGGGACCCACAGCTTAAAGTCCCTCCCGGAGGACTTGTTCCTTGAATTTTTCCGCCGTTAAAAATTCCACGACCTCCGCCGGGTTTGAACCCGCGTGCCTTGAGTCATGAGGTGGGAACGTTACCCCTAGACTATGGAGGCCGCTTTATTGCCATTAATTCATGTTTTAGCATATCAGATTGAGGTCCAGGTTCCTGAGGACCAAATATTGCAAATTTCTGGTCTAGAACTATCTAAAGTGCACATTGAGTTCTGGTTGTACTCTCCACCAAATTGTACAAGGATGAACAAATCAAAGCAGATGAGATGGGCAGGGCATGTGGTCCAAACGGAACATAATGGAAACATTCATAATTTCAGCAAGAACACCTGAGACCGCTTAGGAGAACAAGATGCAGACGGAAGGATAATATAAAAATGTATTCAAAAGAAGCAGAATATGAGGATATGGGCTGGATTCATCTGGCTCAAGATAGGTACCAGTGGCGGGCTCATGTGAACATGGTAATGGAACTTTGAGTTACATAAAATTAAGGAACTCCTTGATCCGTTGAGTGACAAGAAAAATTTTGTTCCATGAAATTAATTGCAGAAAAAATGTAACTAAATATATATTCTATTTTGAGGTGTCATTTATTAGCTTCTTAATATTTCAATATTCCAGCCTACACTGCAGGTTTGGATCTCGATTCAAATACTGCAAACTTCTGGCTCAGTTCAGCCATGTATGGGAATACATTTAGTTATGTCTGAGGAAGGAAATATGTCCAGTAAACAGACAAAGGGCTCCTGGAATAGAATTGGTTGAGGAGAGGCAAGATCGGAAGTGTTTGTTTGAGAGACAGAGGAAATTATCTCCTCTGGGGCGCTTTCAAGATCAAACAAAACCTGCAAACATCATTTATTCCTCCATCACAAGCCATCACTTTGGGCAGACATTGCCACCAACACCAGTAGTCATGGAGACGCGGTATGTGATGCTTTATCTTCAATATTTCTGTGAATAACTTCTTCCAGAGCAACTATTGGAAGCCACAAGTTCATTCTTATATTCCAAAGTTTTAAAACTGAAATCCTCTTGTTGTTACTATAGGATTCTGACGATGGTGTATAACACACAGAGATATTGGGTTTTCGGACTTTATCCATCATCCTGGTTTTAAGATAACTAAGAAAAACACGACGTTTCGGATACTGGATCTGTTTCCATCGTCAGGTGAGGGAAAACACCTATTCTGTTGGGTCCCTTAGAAAGAGCTAACCTCAATCACTGGATTGAGGCTAGCTCTTTCTAAGGGACCCAACAGCAAAAACTATGTTTTGCACCCACAGTTACTAAATAACTAACTACTTAATTCCATGAGTCCTAAGGAAATCACAGTTCCTCACCAACTCATGAAATTCGCGCCATTTTTTGAAACGAAAAGGTTCATTACTACATTCACAAAAGCCCGCCATTGCTTACAATCCTGAGCAACATGAATCAACTCCACAACCTCTCATTCTATTTATGATCCATTCTAGTATTATCCTTTTATCTATGGCTAGGTAATCCAATTTGTCCCTTTATTTTGGCTTTCCTACAAAAACGTTTTACGCATTTCTCTTCTCTCTCATGCGTGCTACATGCCTACCCATCTCATCTCCATTGATTTGATCACTCTAACGATATTTCGCGTGGAGTATGAATTACAAAACGCCTCATTATGCAATTTCTCCAGCCTCCTTCTCGCTCCCCACTCCTTAATTGTAAACTTCATCTTTGCACCCTCCCTTAAATACCGCCCTAATGACAGCTCAGTCGGTATAGCAATGGGCTACGGGCTGGACGGGCGGGGTTCTGTTCCCGACAGGGGCAAGATTTTCATCCAAAGCGTCCAGACCGACTCTGGGGCCCATACAGCCTCCTATCGAATGGGGGATAAAGCTGCCGGGGTGTGACGATGACCACTCACCTCCATCTGTTGCTGAGTTCAAGAATGTTGGAGCTATACATCCACTCCCAATACGTCTTCATGGTGTGATACTTAACTAATTAAGCACAGGGAAAACTTTTCCTTTTATATTTTTAATGGGAAAGAACATGACTCACATACAAAACAATAAGCAAAAGTACAATCTTCGTCTGCTTGGGTAGCTGACAGGAATTCAGAACAAGAAATACACTTTGACAGCCATTACTAATGCAAATTGGAAACTGTCCAATCTAATCTGAAGAAGGACGGAGAGAGACAACAAGGAAGAAATGAAATAATACGGCATTGCACTGGATGAGGAACAAAGGAGCATGTCTGGCGGCCAGCCTACATCTGTCAGTTGCAGGCGGCGTCCCGCTGACAGGTCTGTATCCTGGCCCATTCCACTTGACGCCGCCGCGTTAACACGACACCTTGCAGGGCTAGAAATATTTTACAAAATCACACGACACTGCCATGCCTGAGATCTGGGGCTCTCGCTACAGGGAGTGTGATGTTAACTGGGTTGGTCTAGAGGTACCGCTCTAGAATTGTTTCCACGGAGTGTTCGGTTTGATTCTCGGCCGGGACACGAACTATCGTCACTGAGGTTTTGCATGGTTTTCCTCAGTCCTCCTAGGCAAATGCAGATACAGTTTCTCGATCAGGCCATGGCTGTTTCCTTCCAAATCTTTCCAATTCATCATCCTTCTATCATCATACCATCTAACGCTCTATATTCTCGAAACCGAAGAACAGTCGTTAAATAACCCACGGGGAAAAAAAGCATTCAGAATGTAATGAGAGTGGATTCACAGACAAAGAGAGAGCATGATGATGTTATAAGCCGCCTCTCGTTTTTCAATGGGAGAAACTATGCTAAAAACGATGTTCCCGGATGTGACGCCGTGTACTTTGTTCGACTGATGATAACAGTTCCAGTGAACCTGATAT